AGTTTTGGCAAATGATTCAGCATACAGAATTAATGACATCAAGGTAGTAATGGGTTGCTCAGTAAGTCACCCTAGCACTGTGCCACCAATACAACTCTCAGGACGACTTTTCTTTCATGAATAAGACAAAATGCCCAACACAAACCTGCAAGGGAAACAGGTTTATTTAACTCACAATTTGCACAGATTTCAGTCCATAACTGACCGATCTCCAGGCAGGGTGGCATGGCAGAGAGGCATTGCAGAGGGAAAATGGTTCATGTCAGGGAGAAAGCAACAAAACTGGACAAGGGACAACCATGGCACTTTCTATCCCTTGTATTTTATCCAGGTTACACAGAACAGGAATCACTCACACCCTTAATCTGAAAGACTTTCATCTTAGAATTGCACAATGAATCAATCTCAGTGTCATACATTTTAAATCCACGATCCTCTGAAAAAGCCACATTTAAGACTGCATGAGGCTTTGGAGTAATATTTAGACACATATAATGACAACAATGTTCTCAGTTTTGTGCGATACCTAATTTCAAACTGAGCACACTTTGAAGCCCAGCCTGGAATTTTCTAGGCTGCCTGCTCTTTTACCATATATGCATTCGGTTGTTCTTAATTTTTTAGTTGGGAACAGAAACCCAATAGAAGAGGGGTTTCTATTCCTGGTCTGTCACACGAATGCAAGATAATACAAGGTACAGCACAATAATTAGCAAGCAGAAGTTAGAGATACAAAGGTTTATTTAACATCAATTTTACAATCATACACTCGACGTTTCAGTAAATGATTCACCACATCTCTTACCTACCACAAAATATACATCTGTCCCATCCTCCATAGATGTGGTAAGCATGTTCAAGCTTGAGACCCTGAGAAAAATTAGAAGAGAAAGAACCCATCACTCTAGAAAGATAAAGTATAAACTTTGAGCCCCGTGTAAACAAAATGCTATGGAATGAAAAAAAAAAAAAAAAAAAAACTTTGCAATGTAAGGAAACTTTCACATTTACAATACACCCAATGACTAGTTTTGAGCAAAGAATTACAAAGAAAAAATAGGAACAATAAAATATCACCCACTCACAAAAAAATGAAGTTTATGTAAAACAGTTTTGAACATCTTAGGCTTTGGACAGACTAACCAAAGGTTTTAAATCCGCCCACTTTAAAATGCTCAAAACACTGAAGTGAACTCACAAATAACTCAATGAAACCAGACAAGATGTATAAAAAAGTAAAGAATACTCATAAAAACAAAAATATTAATTTTTGGAGCGTAAAAGCATGATAGTTGAAATGAAAAGTTCACTAACAAAGTCCAACTATCTGAACAAAGAGAAGAAAAGAACTAGTGAATTTTTCATAAAATGAAATAACTCAGTGTGAGAAACAAAAGAAATAAAGAAATACGAACAAAGCCTAAGGATCATATAGGACATATTCAATATCATATTTATCATATACATTTTTATCTTAATATATATATATATATATATATATATATATATATCAGATATATATAAAGAGTGAGACAATGGAAGTTCAAGATACTTAAGAAAGAAAAATAATTTCAAAATCAAAAACATTTCCAATAAACAATGGCCCCAAACTTCCCAAATATGATGAAGTATAAGAATACACAAACCCAATAAGCTCAAAATTTCTAAGCAGGTTAAACTCAAAACTCAAAAGGGCACTTACTATAAGGAAACTGTTACAACACAAAGTGAAAACCTTCTAAACAGCAAAACAGAAGTGACTCATCCCAGAAAATTCTCAATGAGACTAACAGTTGATCTTACATCAGAAACATTAAGGGCCAAAGGCACTGGGACCATCTCTATACAGTGCAGAAAGAAAGTCCTGTTGCGCAGGATGTATAGCTTAATGGCACAGTGCCTGCCTGGCAAGTGCAGGGTATAAATTCAATCCTCAGTACCAAGAAAAAAGAAAAAGAAAGCCATCAACCAAGGATTCTACATCCAGAGAATCTATCCTTCATCACTGGGCATTAAGTGAGGGGTGGTGGTAGATGCCTGCAGTCCCAAGACTCTGGAAGGCTCCTGCAGAAACCAAAGATCTAACCAAAGCAATTTAGTAAATCTTGCCTCAAAGTAAAAACTAAAGAGAAAGGTAGGATGTAGCTGACTCTAAAAATCCTGAGTTCAACCTCAAGTACCACCAGTAACAATCAAACAAAAAAAGAATATATCCCAAATTTTTAAATGTGCCAGCCTATAAGAAATGCCAAGGCAGTTTGAAGAGAACTGATGAGTGAAAAACACATGACATAAAAAACAAGTAGCACAATGTCATAAAAAAAACCCTTCATTATAAGTAATCCTTTTAAATGTAAATAGTTTAACTTTCCAAAGATTTAAAGAATGATTTTAGGAACATGATCCAACCATGCAATATTCAAAATAGAGAAGTGCATAGAGAAAAAAGATTAGCAGCGCAGTGAGCAGGATGATGAGAAAAAGGTTAATGCGGAGCAATCATTTAATATTTATACAACATTTTGAGGTGCTAGAAATATTTTGAAATTCCAAATGCACATTTTGAATGCCACAAATTCTACTGAATTGTATGCTTGAATATAGTTACACATGTAACATGTTAGCATCCCCACAGTTTTAAAAATGAGTCATAAATGTATTTAGCATCATCCCTTGTTAAATTTTTCAATGCAAATATTACATGACAAATGTATTAGATCATACTTCAAAATGTTAAAGCTATGTATTAATGAGTGAAGAAAATCAGGTAATTTTAATTGTTTATGCCACTGAGCAAAGATCGGGAAGAGTTTAATTATTTACATTGTATGTTGCTTTTTTAGTTTACAACTTTAGAAATTTATTGCATATTAAATTTTTAATAACACTATGAAACAATTATTAAGGTAATATTGAGTAATTGGATATTTTAAATATATTTAAAACGTTTACATTGTAAGATTAATTAAGACTGAGTACAATAGGAAGTAAATTACATTGTTTCTAAAGCATTGCACTGAGTTAATATGCTCACAACATAAGTTTACTGGGCTGTATATAAGACTATGGAAATCAGTACAGTGATTCCTAAGAAAACTAAAAGTAAACTTCTATTCACCCCAGCCATCTCCCTTCTAAAGATAGCAGTTTCCCTATCTTCCTAAAAGAGCGAGAAACGTTATTACAGTAATATACTCATATCCATGTTCATAGTAGCACAACTCATCAGTTATAACTTAGAAGCACACTGTTTGTCTGTCCAGCAATAGATGCATTTTCAAAATGTGGCATTGTACACAATGGAGTACTACTCTTCTAAAAGCAGGATAATCATGAGTCATTGTAGAAAATGGTTGTACTTAGGACCACGATGTTAAGTAAAACAAACAATCAACACAACATTAAATATCACATGGTTTCTCTTTTTAAAGAAACCTAAAGTATAAATAAATTAAAGAGCCAAATAAAAGATACATAACAAGAAACAGTGACAGAATTTTTTCAGAGAAGAAGAGGACTAAGCGTTATAAGGAGGGGAAAGAGAAGAGACAAGAAGAGGACAAGAAAGAATAGGACGCATTACATGCAATATTCCCACAATAAGTATAATCATAATGTAACACAAATATGTATAATAAAATTTTCAATTGTCTGGGGGAGATAGACAAATGCATGCTATTTTTCCTTCCAGCTCTCTGAATTCTCCTAATGAATATGCATTATAATTACAGTCAGAAAGCAAATTTTGCCTTTTATTTATTTACTACTGCGAAAGTTCAGTTAAAAACAAGCTCAGCTTTGATAAATGTTGATGGTCCTCTATTGAAAAGGAAGATAAACTGGAATGTTTTCTTCTCAAGTGTAATGCTCCTCATAGAAAAACATGTAAAACATGAACAGGAAGCTTAAATCACCAAATCAAATTGTTCAGACCTATAGTTGGCCCTTGAGCACCTGGGTTGCAGTGGATTCAAGCAGGCAGTCTTCAAAACAGGAACACTATGGCAGAAGGATTTCATGGAGCAAGGCAACTCTCAATTCCTATAGGATGGGAAGAAGAGAAAAGAAAAAGAGCCCTGAAATCAAGGGATCACTATCCTGATATACAACCCAAAACACCACCATATTTAGTTTAGGAGATTCTGCTGGGATCCACAACATCACAACGAAAGCAATGGGAGTAACCTATGTCAAGACATAGTTTGAGTTGCAAGGACCCACAGCAATTTGCTAGTTTAGACCAAAAATGCCAAGTGCAGACATTTTGTTTAAAAATATTGAGAAGAGAGTCCTACTCCATCACACTGAATATTTATAATTAAATAAGAGATGTTTAGCATTCAGTTAGAAGGAGGCTACTATGATGTCAGAGTCACCAGATAGATTGATCAGATGCTGGCCAAGCTTTGTTATTCCTAAATATATTGCTCCACTGTGGCTTTCCTGAAGTTTGGCTACTGGGTTTCTGTCTCTTTCATCAGATGGTCAGTTCACTCTCCAGCATGTTTGCTCCTAGCACAAGAGATGGTTCTAATACTCAAATGCTTCTAAAACTACCCTGATGAAACCTGGCATTGATAATTCTGTCACTGGGAACCCATGTTTATGAGAATGTCCTGGCCAATACCACATCCTGCAGACCCACGTTGCACACCTGGGTTTCTGGTGAGGACAGGAACACATGATTTCATCTGAATCATCAGTTGTGGTCATTATACGGCTCTTACACACTTAAAAGGTGTCATGATGAGAGGAGGCAATGGCCGTAGTGTGTTGTTTTAAAAAGCCTCTCAGGGAAAAGCTCCACAAAACCAGTGACAAACATGAGGTCACTGAGCCAACTTCTCCCATTTCCTCTGCTGGGGGCTAAAAGACAACATTGACAAATCTTCACAAGCTCTGACTTGGAAACGCTTCTTGCTTATGGGAAGATGGCAACTTCTTCTGCTCCTGTTGGCCTTCTTTCTGCTCCCCAGAGCAGAGGCAGGTGAGTGACCATCTTCACGCTCCAAGTGCCCAATCTTATTGCACAGAGCATGTGAATCTCCTGTCCCTATGCAACACCCCCAGAGCCTTCTGTCTGCCAGCATTGCTCTGAAGCTGAACTCCAATCCCACCAGAGGGAATCAGGTTGGACACTGCATAAGCTACCAGAGTTGTTTTCAAAAGAGCCAGTGGACAATGTACCCTCAGTAAGCCTCAGCTTGCACATCTAGAGAGGCTTTCTTCAAACTTCATGCAGGTGAGATGTAAAAAGAAGAAAATATCAAGAACTCCTAAACAGGGTGGAATAGGCCAGTCATCCCGGTCAGGGGAGGGGAAAGGCTTTGCATTCATAACTGCCTAGCAGAGATGCCCAGAGCTCCCCACAATGGATGGAATCTCTGTTGATGCCTCTCCTCACTCCAACAAACTTTCTCTAGCTCTGCTTTCCTCCTCTGGATTTCAGGGGCTTCTCTGTTTTTCAGTAGGAGCCACAGAGGCAGACTCACACTTGTCTGCTTTCCAGAATTCCATCTGCACTGTTCCACTAACCAGAAACTAACTGTAGCTGTTCCTTCATGCTGCCAGGGAACAGATCTGAGACACCCTCTACATGTAAGGCCTTAAGAAAGATTTTAAGACCTCACCTACAGTACACCTAGAGGGCTGCCAGGATGAAGCATCATCATCCTAGACATCACAGGACTCAGAAGGGTTTTATTTACTCAAGGGATATAAAAAGTTAGCAGAGGAATGATGAAAATCCTCAGAGGTTTTATTTTCCCCTAATACATATAGTCATCTCCAATCAAACAAAGGAAAAGGATTTGTAGAACAAGACTCAATTTACTGCACTTTGGGAAACAAGTTCAGGCATCTTCCTCTAGGTTCCTGTCCATTTCAAGAAACTGCAGGCTCCCAAATGTCCAACTTTTCAGAGATTTTAAGATACTTGTTCAAGGACTCAGTGGCTGCACCAAGTCTTCTTGATGTTTTCAGGAAAGGTCATTGGGGGACATGAAGTCAAACCCCACTCCAGCCCCTACATGGCTTACCTTAGGATCAGGCATGAGAAATCTAGGAAAATTTGTGGTGGCTTACTGATTCAAGAGGACTTTGTGCTGACAGCTGCTCACTGTTTACAGTGGTGAGAAATGAAAAAGGGTCCACAGCCTATAGGAAACACTTCTCAGTGCCTTTTTTCTGGGCAGCTCGATGAGCTCATGGACATAACCATGAGGAGGATTGGTGAGAGTGAGAAAGGGTCATCATATCGCAAGGGCAGAGAAACAAGTTGGCACCAAAGTATTCCTGATATAAGGAAAACCAGGGCAATCAAACCTGATTACATGTAGACCCAAGACCATACTTTGGCATAAGAAAGCAAAGTAAAACAGTTTCATGTCCTTTCCTGGAGGCACTGACCACTGAGAACCTCTGGTGCCCAAGGTGCCCTCCCTCAGTACTAAGAAGGAGGGACAGTCATTCAGCCAGGTTGCCCTCTGTCCTCTACAGCTATACACTGTTTCAGCTGTGGCCTCCTTTTACAGATCCTGGGTAGTGTCTTTTGTAGCTCTCCATCCACCAATCCACTTGGCTCTGTGTACAGCCCAATAGAGGTCACCTTGGGGGCCCACAACATCAAAGAACAAGAGAACACCCAGCAGGTCTTCTGTGTACAAAACGCATTTCCTCACCCAGATTATAATCAGAAAAAACACATCAACGACATCATTTTGCTGAAGGTAAGGCACATGTCCTTGTCACTCTTGCTCTCCTCAAGAATGGTTGCCACTTCCACTGGCACCCTGCCCCTGCCCTCTTTGCCATCATGTCCATCACACTGTGCATACCCAGGAGCATACACTGAACTGGACTTCCTTACTTATTTTCCACCAGCTGGAGAAAAAGGCCAAGCTGACTAAAGCTGTGCAGCTCCTCAGGCTGCCCAAGGGCAGGACCCAGGTGAAGCCAGGTATCCGGTGCCAGGTGGCTGGATGGGGACGATTTTCCCCAGGGGGAAGATTTCCAAGCACACTGCAGGAAGTGGAGATGGTAGTGCAGAATGATGAGAAATGTGAGGACCCCTTTAAAAAGTATAATCGTGCTACTGAGATTTGTGTGGGAGACACAAAGAATAAAAATACTTTGTTTAAGGTAAATGAGGCATCTGTCACAATTGGAGTTGTGTGAAAGAGTGTTTGGGACAGATCTAGTACCAGGAGACCCAAGCATCATGGATTCCTTCACCAAATAGACTATTATGTTTCTCCCAGAAAAGAGAGGGGAGAAGCCTGAGCTGGGAGATACTAAAGCCTAAAGCCGCTACCACTTTACTAAGGGACCTCTGGAGAAGGAAACACCACTGGAAGCTTCACTTTGTAAAACATTGCCTGAGCTCATGGCACAGGCATGAGAAAACTGTTTCCTTGGTGTGCAGGAATTATATTCTCCTCTGAGAGGGAAGCCCTCGGGGTCAATGAGCTCATCATCTCTGCTCATTGTCCAACCTGGTCGTCAGCCTCCCTGGCCTGTAATGAGTGGTCCTCACAACTCTACAGGGCTGAGGTCCAGACCTGGGGATGAAGACAAAGGCTGGCTCCAAGAGTGAAAATGCCCATAGTCAGAGCTCAGCAGCTAACAGCCTGTAGTTCCCTCTAATCTCTCAAAAGCAGACTTTACAATCAGTACAGCATGAGAGGGTTTGGGATAATGGAAATGAGAAGTTAAGTGGTGCCATGGTTCACAGACTCACTGTCTATTTACAGGGTGACTCCGGAGGCCCCCTGGTGTGTAATAATGTGGCACAGGGCATTTTCTCCTATGGACGAAAGAATGGAAAAACACCATGTATCTTTATTAAAGTCTCATGGTTTCTACACTGGATAAAGAATACTATGAAAGAGAGCTGACTGCACACAGTAAAGTAAATCCCCTCTATGAGCAACCATCTTACCTGGAGCTGAGTGTAGAATCACTCTAGAGCAGATGCCAGCAACTAAATAAATGTTATATCTCGGTGAAAGGCTAGTTTTTTGTTTGCGCACTTATGTTGGTTCATGGGGACCAACTCTGTGCTAAGCAGGACGGTGACACAGTTCTGATGATTTCTGCCTCCTCCACTCCTTATCCACTCAATACTTTTCCAAATCCCCTCTCAAAACTGTTACCAAGCTCTGCCTTACACACTTTAGCTTCTCCACAGCCTCTCTTTTTGCAAGGGCTACAGTTAAGCACCAACTGAAGAAAAAGTGGACATCTTTCTTTCTAGGGCTCCATGGGAATATGTGACTTCTTTTGTGTCACATGTAGAGGGGAAGGGGATGATTTCATGGGTCCTGGAGTTCAGCCAGGCACCACTGAGGTCACTATGGGACCCCATTAGGCTCGGTAGAGGAAGGGTATTCCTGAGCAGGACATTTCTCTCCCACAGCTTTAGGGATACACAGGGAGTGCCGGGTAACCTGACTGACTCTTTCCCTTCACCTGAAATTTGTTTCCTTCTCCATTCTGCTCTAAGACCAAGGCTAACCTTGGCTTACAGCCACCTGGCTGCCAATTTTTATCCCTCCGAGAGTTGTCACTGTCCACCAACTTCTCTCCGTATGAGGCCACACTGATTTGATATTGTAACCTTTTCAAATCTCCCAATCCAGGACTAAAACCTGTCTCTCTTCACAAGGTAATGAAACCTTGGTTCAGAACTGGGTGGTGGCCTTTATTCTGCTTAGGTATTCTTTTGACTGGACCCAGGAACCCCTTGGTTCCCCACAACTACTGATACTGGTATAACTCTTTATTCATGGCATGAATTTCACTGGACTTGGTAGATTGAAATTTATTTATTAGGATTCCAATAACTTTTTCTGGATTTACCAATATAATCTCCTCCTTACTGTGACAATAGTGGAACAGTTTCTGTATTAGTGCATACAAAGTGCTAGGCCAGAGGCTGGGGATTAGCTCACCTGCCAAGGCACCTGCTAGGCAATCACAAGGTATTGAGCTCAGTCCTAGGTAAAAAACAAAAAATAGTGCCAGGTCTTACGTTCTATGATGAACATAATCATAGATCCCAGTGAACCTGGTATGGTCACAGACTTTCCAAATCAACTCCCTCTCCATCCTCCAGATTGCCCAATGAATCCTGTGTGGAAAACCTGTGAAATAAAACATCTTATTTATATTTCTTCTTACAGTTTCTATCAACATTATCACATGATACTTTAAAACTGTATGAGATTTAAAAATGACCATAGTCACACACTTTTCAGATAGGAAGTTGCTAAATGATTCAAAAGAGGGCCCATAGGTGAAAAGATAATGAAGCAGTCTTATTTTCATTTGTTTGAAAGGAAACAGATATAAATGTTATCATACAAAATCCAATTACAGGAAACACACATACCCAGTCAACCTGCTGGGAACCATAATCCCTGTCAGCACTACAGTGCCCTCCTTGAAGAATCAAACTTGAGTCTGGGAGGCCAACACAGAAGAAAATGGGGAGATATCTGTAATATTTAAGTCATCATGGTTACTGATACATCCATGATATCTAATATTATCCAAGCTTCTCATTGTTGAGAAGTTCATAGTTTAGAGAAAACAAAGTGCATGGCATTTTGTTGAACAAATGTGCTGTGGGTGCTTTGTTTACCTTGCTGAACAGTCCCTCCACCTTGGGCTGCAGGGTCAGGTCACTAATATCCACACTGCCTGGCAGAATTTGGCTCAAGCTTAATGCCTCTATGTCTCAAATACACAAAATACTACATTCTTTTGTGGCACAGAGTTAAATCTCACTCTGAGATCATGTAATTCTCAAAGGCATGCCTTCTCCCATCTGTTTACAAAGCATGCTACATCACAGTCTCATAATTAATTGTCTTGTGTAGCTTTACAAGGAAAAATCAGCTTCTGACTGGAGCCTGAAAATCAAAATTCCTGCACCTAACACCTACTGAAGATCTGGCTCCTTCCTCGGGGGGGGGGGGGGGAAGAAAATCAATAAAACAAAAAAACAAAAAATAATATTTAGTAAGTTTTCCAGTCATATACACGAATACTCCCGGGTTCTATTTACTTTGGTCAAATGGGTTTGTAGTTTATAACTCCTTTGAAAAGTATTCCTGTAGATTGGTCCCAATCCTACTCTAAAAAAATAAAAAGAAACACATTCCCAAGAAAAGATAATGAGGACCAAAAGTAATGCAGAAGTTAGGAGAAAGCTTGGACTGAGCCAAATTCCCTAAACATCAGCCTACCAGCAGCCCTGGTCTTGTAATTGTCAGTCCATATTTTGGCTCCATCTCCACAATCTTGAAATTTTCTGGTCTATTTGTCTTTTCCTGAATAACAAGGCAGCTGTCATCTGTTTATGTGGGCCATGATGATAGGTAGATGATTGATCCTGATGTTTAAGGGAATATAGGATTCCCTGAATTGACCCTTAGTGACAGCGAATGAAAGTCAATGGAAGGCCATCACAGGGGTATGCTGACTGCACCAGGTTACCTTACTAGGACAGCTGAGTTGAGATCTACCAATTTGTGACTTTTATTATCTACAGGGAGAGGTAATGGAAGTTTGCATTTGGACATACAGGTGAACTGTTACCTCCGTTCTACTTGACATACTATCTAAGGTTTCTCATCCTCTTTTATCTACACATCTAATTAGTAATAGGTATCTCCAACACTGGATTTTTATATAATGTATCTACAGTCGCTGGTATATCCTCTAAAGCACAGTAAGAAATGAATATATATAAATTCCCATGCCTTTCACCAAATACTATTTTTCCCATGCCAGGATTTACTCAATCAAATGATACTTAAATATTATTTCAAAATTCTTTTCTTGAAGATATTTATGGTATTCTAAGAGTTGTTATGGTATATATATATATATATATATATATATATATATATACACAATTTGGAATGATTAAGGCTGATCCACACAACCAATAGTTTAATAAGTATTATTTTTCATACTCAGAGCATCTGAAATTTGCACTTAGCAATTCTAAAATATGCACTACTAAGACCAGTGTGATGTATACACACTACTAAGTATGATCAATGTGATGTACAAATAGATATCAAAAATCTTATTTCTCTTGTCTAGCTAAATCTTTGCGCCCTCTGACCAACATCTCCAAATGCTCCTAAATCCCTAGCCTGTGACAACTACTATTGTGCTCTATGTCTACAACTACAATGATTTTCAATTCCCCATGTAAGTAACAACTTATATTGTTCTACTGTGCTTGGCTGTTTGTGCTTGAAATAATAGTCCCCTGGTATATCCAGGCTGTTGCAAATGACAGGATCTTTTTTTTAATATAGTTTGGATTATATATATATATATATATATATATATATATATATATATATAATACTAAAACATACATATCACATTTTCTTTATTCAATCATTGATAGACACAAGTTGACACTAGACTATTATGAATAATGTAGCAATGAAATTGGAAATTCAGGTAACTTCTTAGCACACTGATCTCTAGTCCTTTGGAGAAACACTAGCATAGGATTCCTGGGCAGAGTATTAGTGCCAATGACAGTCCGATCTATTTAGGTACAAAGCATGGAGCATGCTCTCCTCTCCTAGCAGTACATCCTCTTGGTGGCAGGGACCATTGGGCTCAGCCAGAAGCTTCAGATTGCCTGAGATTCTGTTCTTCCATCTTTCACTGTCCACAATCTCAAGGGTTCCATGAGATTCCTAGTGGACTTATTTCTATATTATTCTTCCTAGGTCACTTTTGGATACTGGCTTATTTTCTACCCTATCCATAGAGGACAAAGAAGGCAGGATATGTCCAAAGAAAGCTGGGCCAGAGCATTACACTAAGCAGGGCACTGTCAGTTCTCAGAAAGACAGATCTTGCTCCTAAGCTCAGAGCCCACCTTCTGAGAGGACACTCAGCATCCTGATTTCTTTCAGCCTGTCCTTTTTGGTCATGGCTAAGGGCAAGGTCTCTGAGTTGGAACTCCATGATTGATTACCAGTCTGTAATGACCACTTAAGTGAGACTGACTACATCTACAACAGGACTAGAAATCACCATTCCCTCTTCCACTTATACATAGATTAATTTTCAGGTAATACTATGTGTCAGACAGTAGATACACAGAAAAACAGCCTTTTATGTAATTACTGTGGGTTCTCTCACTTTATATTACACTTTTCCTGTGTGAGATTGTTGGTTTATATCTGGGTTTGAAAGTCACAAAAATCAAAATAGTCTTGCTCTACAGACAATATTTATTTGATTCTAAGAAGTCAGCCTTTGCTGGTACCAGGATAGTCATAGAGAAAAATCAGGCAAGAACTCTCCCCAGAGCTCTCACTTCCATTTCCTGGCTATGCAAACAAAACTCTCCTACCTGGCCCAACATCCCTCATGAGCTCAGCATGCATTGAGACAAGAACTAATTCAATAGCTTCAGCCCTGCTTCACCGATCCCAACATAGCCTCTGTTCCAAGACCGTACGTCCCTCCCCAGGTTGTAGGTACATATAGAATAGCTACAAAATTTTTCTTCAGAAGCACTGAAAGCAACCATTTGTTATTCATCAGCAAACAGATGTAAAGCAGGTGCCAGGTGCTGGAGGTTCAAAAGCGAGCATGGTAGGAGACCTCCAAACCTTCACAAACCTCAGCCATATGACATTGTACCAAAGCCTTGTTTCTTCACCCAGGTTAATTAGGTTAGCCTGAATCTGTCTGAGAAATCCACATAAATGAAAAATTTTAGGATAACAGCATATATGTATCTTACACTAAGAATGTTCGTGAGCATTGTCCCATTTTATGTTAGTAGAGCAAATAGGATATTAGAAAGACTGGGTAGATCTTCTGGTCTGGAGGTTTCCAAATGTGTACACACTGTGAGATGCAGGCACACAGAGAGAAAAAACAAAAAAAGACCTGTCACATTTTATGGTTTACCTCAAAGTGTATTGTAAACTCAAACATGAAGACATACCACGT